AAACTAACCGAACAGACAGAGACTTTCCGACACTATCCGGAGAAACAGAACAGTCTAAACGACAGTTGAGTGGCCGAGTGAGCGCCTTGCACCATTATAGGCGCCGCGGTCTCAGATCTCGCTGTTTTCTTGAAACACACTTACACACACAGATCAACAACGTGGGAATTTCAATTTCGAGATGTTGAAAGAACATCGCCTCGACATAAGGTGTCTGGATCTTTTCTCTTTCGCTGCCGATAACGAGGCCACACTGACGGTGAACTCACCTTAGCGATGCAAAACTGCAGCTCCGGAACGAAGACCTCGATTGTATCGATTGTTTGTTTCGACCAGGTCACTGTCGGTCTCTTTTTTTTATTGTCCGGAGTTAGTCTCTCACGTTCCGGGAGTTTCGAGCGTCTGCGTCGTTCCAGGGGAGGTGTCGGGCTGTGTTGTCGCCGATAGCGTCGCAAAATCTCTCAACTTGGATATTTCCAACTTTTCGAACGGGTTTGTCGATGCCTTCGCTGTTGTTGTTGTCGGCGCTACTCCCACAAGGCTCGAACTTGTTGCTGTTTTTGTTGTCAATGGAACGGCGCGTTCGAACGGTGAAGCATCTCGTGGAGGAGAAGCACGCAGCTATCGGTTCCGGAGCAAAAGAGACGATGCTCTCCTCTCAACGGCCGGCAGACAACTGACTGGCTGCTGCCTGCTTGCGCGCTCACTTGCAGAGCGAGCCTTCGCGCCCGCCAGGCAGCTAGCCGTCCTTCCTTCCTTCCTTCGTGCCTGTCTCTCTGTACAAGCTCAACGCTAGCAGCCAGCTCGCCCGCCTGCCCGCCCGCTGCCGCCGTCTGCCCGCCAGCCAGCCAGCCAGCCCGTTCGTTTGCTTGCTCGCCCGCCCGCTTGCCCGCCTGTCTGCCCACCATCACCACCACCGCTTCTACCACCACCCGCGGTAGCAGCAGCAGCAGCAGCAAGCACCCTCCTCCGATCTCTTCCTCCGTACAGTCCCCTCACTCCCTCCTGCTGGTTTGCTCTCGCTGTCTCTCTCGTTCACCCACTACTCACTCGACTCGTCGTCGTCGTCGGACGCCTTACTAGTGGCCTGAAGCGGCCGCCACACACCCGTCGCCAGCCTTCTTCTCTTACACTCTCTCGTTCAACGCCAAGAAATCTTCTCTTCCCGCGCCCCCCCCCCCGACGCTCCGGCCGTACCCGTCGCTCGCTCGCTCGTTCAACGGCCCGCCCGGCCTTATCCTCGTCGCTCCCCTCTCTCCCTCCCCACCAAGTCTCTTTCTCCACACAGACACACGCAGGCGGGCACGCTTGCAGACACACGCACACACACAAGCACACCAAGTAGTGACCGCTGTCGCCCAACGCTCTTTAGCCAGACGACGGCTCTCGGTGGAGAACGAGACGCGGCGCGGTGGGGGGAGGGGCGCACCGGGTCGGGGGAAAAGGGGGAACGACAGGAAGGCGAAGCTGTGAGGGGTGATGTAGAGCGGGAAACAAGGCGCGAGAAAATACCCCGGGAGAGGGGGAGGGGGTAACAAAGGGCGACTGTTTCTGCATTCGTTGAGCCCACCGTCCTGCGTAGAGATCACAGAGTGTCAACCGGAATGGATATCACCAGGTGGACATTGACTAGCGGGGAGACATGCGAAAAAAAATAACACGTCCTGCGGGAACGTTTTGTGAACGAGAACTCGAGTCCTCAACGAAGGTACCAATCGAGCCTCTTGGCGGAAACGGAAGCTTGCGGGGCGAGCTGGAAATTGGGTGGGGAGGCGGGTATTGCAGCAAAAAAAATATATAGCGGAACAGACGAAAGAAAAAGAGGGAGACGCCCTGGAGAACTGAAGGACAGAGCGGAGGCGGCACCCGCGGCGAAGGGAACCGCGAAGACAAATTTAATTAAGCCATTTCGTCCGTTGTGCGCTCGCTCGCTCGTCCGTCCGCCCACTGCCGGTATCCCCTTACCCTCCCTTCTCCTGGTCGGCCGGCCGGTCGCTCGCTCGCTCGTCGCTGGGTCTGTCTGTTAGTCGTTCCGTCGGACCACCGAGCGGACGGACGGACAGGCGGGGGCTGGTTCGTCAGTCATTGGTTCGCTCGCTGAATTAAGTTAGTCGGCGCGTTAGCGACCTTCGACCGTAAGAGGGCTTGGTCGGGCGGTTTCCTGTCTGGTCCCCCGTCTGCCTGTATGCGACATCCATTTTGATTCTCGTGTTGCTCCCATTGTAGTTCCTTTGTTTTTTCTTCTCGCCGTGAACAATGTGGACTCCGACTCGGGGAACACAACGAGGGACAGGAATAAAACACCGGTGTTGAGAGAAAGGAGTCCATCTCTGGCGAGAACTATTGTGCGAGACGTACGGGAGCGTAGCGAGGACGAAAGCGCTCTTTCTGAAGGGGATGAGGCTTGACCGGAGTAACGCTCACACTGAGCTTGACGCAGTGATTGGGGAATTGCGTTCTTCAGACAGAAGTTGCCAACTAGGGTGTTCATAGGCTTCGCGACATCACGTCTCTCGGGACCGAGACATTGTCTCCTAAGACGTCATTCTGACCTCCTCGCAGCCTTCCGAAAGCTTCTCCTTCCTCCTTCCGCCTCGGAACCCACAAAATAACTAGAGAGCTCCCGGAGACATTCGGGGACGCGCTCATTCGGAGAGATGAAGGGACGGATATCCGAAAAAAATCATTTAACTTCCGCTTCCGAAAATTGGAGTCAAATGAAGTCTGATTAAACCTGGCGTTGATTGTCCGATATTCAATTCCAGGCTATCAGCGGGACCCTGAGTGGGGAAAATTCCGACCCGGATGCAGCGTAGTCATACCTCGGTCTAGTGAAGCTCCACGTATACTCGGGATGAGCGGGAATACGACTGACTGAATGAGGTGAATATTTGATTGGAGACAATCGATTCGTCAACGATGAAGATCGTCAGAAGATAATTTGGAAGCGGCTTCAAAGCGGCTCCGCTTGTCGAACAAATTTCCGCCAGAAGGGTCGCCCCCTGCAGCGCTAGCAGAACCTCCCGAAGCTAGCCTGATAGATTGTATTCGTTTCATCCCAATTACTAAACTGATGCAAGCTTTCATCGATACGTTCACCGCGTGACTTCCTCCTAATCACTCACGAATTATCTTTCACACCGTCGCCGCGTAACCAAAATGCCATGATTATTAGAAAATTGGCTGAATAATCGATCGTGATGGGGGTCGGTAGCGGGTTCAAATCAATAATTTGCTATAGCTTCGAAGCAGAGGAAAAAAATGAGAGAATCGCGCGAAAGCGTAGCGGGTCATGACCCGCTGCCAATAAAAGGAAGGGGCGACGCGAATCCCGCGAACCCACGGCTCAGAATGGTGCGTCTGATATTCGGCACGGTATTCGTCTTTCTCGCGGCTTCGGCCCCCGTCGTCCGAGGTGAAATCATGGAACTCACGGACTCCAATGATTTCGAGCGTAGAGTTCTCCACAATCCTCGACCGGTTCTCGTGGCTCTGACGTCGGAACACTGCATGGCGTGCAAGCTCGTCATGGGCGAGTTGAAGCAACTCGCTTTGGCTCGGCCAACAATCGATCTTGCGATGGTTGACGTCGTTCGCAACGAAAGACTGGCCGACGATTTCACGCGGAGGTTCAGCAGGAGACTCATCCCCAATGTTCTGGGATTCAGAGGAGGCGTGCTTATCGGAGAGGCTGAGGATCACGGTACGAAATCGCTCACGAAATTCATGGACAAGGTTGAGAGACCGCAAACGGACTTCAATGCTTGAACTGGACTCAAACTCGAGGACTAAACAAATTTAAGTATGATCGATGGTCTGCCGCCATCAATGTCGTTCACTGTATGCTTGTGCACCACATCATCTGACCCGTGAGCTCGTGTTGTCCTGTGAATAGCCTATCGTAGCGTATTTATGAATGGACCGAATTGTTCGCAGTTTCTAGGGGTTGTGGTCTGTGACTGCTCCTTAGATATGAGATATAAATGGGTGTTCTGATCGATTGGAGTCTCCATTCATGAAAATCGGCGGCCCTCTTCCCGAGGAAATCTGATTGGGAGAGGGCAGTTCTGAAAGCTATCCGAAGCGACGAGTGGTGGAGATTGGCGCGGCTGAATTTTTGCTCCGTATGAACCCAACACGATCGGGGGGAGGCATTCCTCGGATGTGAAAACCCGAAGAATCCAGCGCATGTTACCGTCAGGGACGGGTTCCATGACCGTCGTAGGCAGAATTCGCGGGTTCCGAGGCTTCGAAGTGCATTAAAACATCGACTTGGAGCTTGATCTTCCTTTCCCCAACGTCATCAGTCATCAGTCACCCCCCCTATCGATGAAGCGGAAAAAATCCTCTGTCTAGAATCGGTGGGATCAAGAGAGTGAGGGTGTCCGATGTTCCTCGAACTGGGATAGGGGTATCATCCGCGTGGATTAATCGATGGAATGAATAATAAAGTAAGCGTATTTTCGCGCCGCGTCAAATATCCTTACGATCTATGTACGTATTCCGCAGAAAATACACGAGTATGCCCCTCTTCGGGAATGGATAAGTTCGGAAACTAGAAGCAGCATGCTGCGAATTTCCTCCCCTCCATTCCTTACTCGGTGATACGATGGGTCGATCCAGCAGAGTCCGAACGTGAGGTTCCGAATTTCGTCTTGAGCGATTCAAGGCGTATCATTAGCTGGCTCTCGCGGTACATACACCGAAAGAAAAGCTTAGATTTAGAATGTATATAGTGTCTCTTAATTCTTTCTTTCAATTCTTCTTTTAATTCTGTCGGTTCAGATACGACGTTCAGCAGCAATATAGCTCCCGCGATTCCTCCCTCGTGGCTACAGAGATTGGAATACATCCGCTGACCGGTCACGATGGTTTTCGAAATGTAAATAATAATCAGTGACGAAGCTAACAAGGGAGCCCGCCTTTCCTCAGTCACGAAATCCGAATCCCACACAGGGGTGTGAACCTGGCGTGTGTCGATGCGAGCCGGCAGCGTTTGTTGTTGGTTTCGGCGGCCGCCGTTGGTGCTTCTGTTTGTGTTTCGGCAGCAGATTGTCTTCGTGTGGCGAAAGAAGCGGCAGGGTGGTTCACTGATTCCGTTTGGGACCGGGTTCATCACTCGCGCTTATCCAGAACAAAGTGATCTCTATTAGAAGCCGTCAGGGTCGTGTTCCATCGCCGCGAAACCGACCTGATTGAACACGGTCAAAATGAGCAAGACAGCGTCGTCTCAGCGCGGAAGTGGTTGGAGCCGTGGCGGCTCGCAGGCGCAATTCCAAGGGAAATACATGGCCTCCAATCCATCGAATGTGCTCAGTTTCACTCTCAATCGCACCGTTAACCTGTGAGTGTTCCAACTGAGGGTCGTTGATCGTGGTTGTTCTCTCGCCGATGTCAAACGCCGAGGAAACTTGCCGGAGTTTCTGGAGCCGAGGAAACTCCACAGCGAGCATCCGGCAAGCTTTCGTCGAATGGCTTCTCGCGCCGGGCGGATTTTACTCGTTGCCATCGGTTCGACCTGTTTATCGGCTCAAGTCATTCTCGGATACTCAAATGGACTCATCGAAGTTTCGGCGTTCGACAGAGACCGCGAGGGGCTTTGTATACCAGCTCAGAATCGATGGACGACTCTATTTCCGATCACTCGGATGAAACCCGATCGTGGACGTCGTATGGGGTCCCAATCGCCCTCTGGCAACATGTTCGATGAGGCATTCCTCATCTCCACGATGAATCATGATTTCCCCTCCCCCCGTCCCTATTGTCTCGGAATCACCGAAGCTGACAGCGACTCAGTGTCCGACCTCTACCCCAGATGAGGGGATTCAAAATTTCCAGATCGGCACGAATCATCCACATGTCTGGCTACCCGTGGAATCATTGCTCCCTCCGATTCCAGGTACCCTCTAACGAATTACACGTTCGGGACCAAAGAAGCACTCTACGAGAAGGACCCTTCCGTCCCAGCGAGATTCCAGCGAATGCGCGAGGAGTTCGAGAAAATTGGAATGCGTCGTTCAGTAGAGGGCGTACTTTTAGTTCACGAGCACGGTCTACCCCATGTACTTCTCCTACAGCTTGGAACCACATTCTTCAAGCTGTGAGTAGGATCCACATAATCTCGAATAATTACCGCTACCTGCTTTGGCTCTCGGAGGTGAAATCGAATATATATATGGTATGGGAGTGATAAGAGAATTACAGCTGACCTTTTTGTCTTCGCCGCAGACCCGGTGGGGAACTGAACCCCGGCGAGGACGAAGTCGAAGGATTGAAAAGACTCATGTCCGAGGTGAATGTTTTTCGTAATTTCGAGCTCGTAGCCGATTTGCCGGGACAAGGCGGTCCGCACCAGGGATTGAACGCCTTTCTTTCCGCAGACGCTCGGGAGACAAGACGGAGTGAAGCAAGAGTGGACTATAGAAGACACAGTCGGTAACTGGTGGAGACCCAATTTCGAGCCAGCCCAATACCCCTACATTCTGCCGCATATCACGAAGCCGAAAGAACATAAACGGCTATTTCTGGTGCAGTTGCCGGAGAAAGGTATTTAGACGCACCCGCGCGATTGGTCTCACTTCACCTCAATGTGTTCTTCTAGATGACCCGATATGCGCTAGCAAAAAATATGAAAGCTCGGAGACCATCTCTGCCTAAGATTGAGTATAGGAAAATATTTAGGGAATCAAGGTTACGATCCTCGAAGTGCTTCAGTTTCACGATCTGACTATGTTTCTTTCGACAGTCCTGTGAAATCTTCTGGACTCACTCCGTGTGCTAAAATCGTTGGGGCTCGAATCGAATATCACCAAGAATATCACGATGCCTTGCTGGGACCGTTTTTATTTACCGTGCGGCAAGCGCCCGTCTACCTATTGAGCGATTTTCGCTTCTGCCTTCCATGACTACGCGTCGTTCACGAATTGTAGACAACACAAGAAGATTGTTTCGCATGCCACATCTTTCATCATTCCGTATTCTACCTAGATCATAGATCTGATCCTTTCCAATCGTGTGTTGAAATTTAATCTCGAGCTTGAGTTTCCGAAATTCATCGTTGTCACCGGAGAGGAGTCATGCGAGACTTATTTTCGAGAGCCTACGGCTCCGGGAGAATCTATGGAAACTCGTGATAGAATCGGGAGTATTCTGTGTTGAGGATGCGATTCGTCGAGAGGAGCCGGTTTTTCCTCCTCAGAGAGTCGCTTGTCGTTGAATTTTCGAACTACGCGGCTCGTCACGCACAGTGTTTCTGACGGAGGAGCATAGGATAGAAGTGTAAACGTTTACGATATGTTCAGACACAAGTGCATCGAGCTCTTGAATCGGTTCGCGCGCACAGATACGGAGAACGCACAATGTTATCCTGTTGCATAGAAACTACGATGCGGTACCCAACCGGCAAGGGGGTGCTTGACGTTTGAGAATTTAACGCTATGGCGTCGGTCTAGGCATTGCTATTGAGAAGCATTCTACCTAATTATTCATTATATCCGACGTGGTAATCTAGAATAATTAATCAAGTGGATTGGAGCAATACGAAATCGGCGTGCTCCTGCAGCTTGCAAGCGAGCCAGGATTTCGAATTACGGGTTATCATGCGAGTGAAGGAGGTTAAACTGCGCCGAAATTCCGTGTCGTTGATCCGGACGATCTATTTCTCAGGAATCGAGTTCCAGAGAGTATGCTCGATCGGATTGTTAGAGCGTCGATACGAACAAGAGTCTTTGGGCCCCGATCCCCAAGTTCGGCACCGTTCACATAGGGAAATCCAGAATCCATGCTGTCAGTCAAGTGTAGTACGTTGTGACGCTGACTTTAAAATACACGTCAGCATGAGACGGAGGACGAGGTGGGAGTCGCCGCGAGTGTCCGCGAGTTTTGTGAGGGAGTCAGAACATTCACGCGGATGAAATGTGTTATACATGTTATATCTCAGAGCATCAGTTAATATCGGAGTCTCTTGAGGAGAAAATGTCGTCCTGTAGTTCATATAGCAATGTAGCGAAAATGTTTCCGAATAGTTCCGAATGGGTTCTCACATACTGTGTTGAGAGAAAATAATTTGGTCATATGCCTCGGAATGAACATGAGAAATATTCGAACGTAGGTACGAACGTCTAAATCAATAGCGAAAACGAGCAGAGGAGTAAGAGTAAGTTGTATGATGTTTTCTACGAGACACAACGTCGAACCGTAACTCAAGTCTCCCATCTGTTTATTTCAGCTCTATTCGCCGTGCCCAAGAATTATAAACTCGTAGCGGCTCCCTTATTCGAGCTCTATGACAACTCTCAAGGTTACGGACCCATCATATCGTCACTGCCACAAACATTGAGCAGGTGAGACGCTTCAAGCCCACTTACACTCGGGCGGAGATTTATCCCCTGCTCGGAACAAATGTCATACGTTCATCGAACATCCAATCTTACTCCGAAAACCGACTATTTGAACGCAGTAACTCATTGGAAACTCAATTTCCGCTCCCCAGGTTCAATTTCATCTATTTGTAAGCTAGAATTCTTGAGGTAAACGACGGCTGACTTCGCTAGGCTCCAGTCGAAGGTTCAGAAAGCCGTCGAACTTGAGGAAAGTCACGTGGGAGCGATAAGCCTCATGTCTCCATTCTTCTATTATCTGTAAATATTTCGCACGGCTGTAATTGCATGTGAGGTCGAGATCGTACCGTAGCGAAACTCTCAATAAAGACACGAGAAGTTCTTTGGGAATGATCCTTGCATTCCTCTGGGCATGTCGAGACCAACAGCGGCGGCGAGCCTCAATGGCCGCATGTTCTTAGGGGTATGGGCTTGGCAGAGAAGTTCCTGGAACTCCAATAACTAAAGTTTCCGGCTCGTCATAGATTATTCGAAGAGAGGGGCCTGGAACCGCGGCCAAGGATCCACCGCGAGCTTTGTGGCCCTTGACAGACGAAGTGGAGCCACACTTGAGTGAACCACCGAGTGATATACGAGCAGATGACAACGTCGTGGCAGATGATCATGCGAGTTTCTTAAAAAAAAATGCGCGGCATAGTGCCCTCGAATGTGCATTGAGAGTTTTATTTTGATCTGGGTTTACAGCGGTTTCGCAATCATCTTACACAACTGAGAGCAAGGGTGGCTCTACCGGTTCAAGATACATAGGAGGTCTATGGGGAATATGCGGAATGAGACTGAATGCGACCGGACGAAAGGTCGATCGATCTCGAGGGAATAAATTCCTCGCGGATCCCATCAGCAAAGGGGTGAAACTTCTGACGACCGAAATCATACGGAGAGCGTCCCCTCCCTCGGCTCACAGGTCTCGGTGGTGCTTCCGAAATCCTTCGAAGCAGTCAGGCGCGCCCTCGCGTTGAAACTTCCCCTGATTCAGTGCCAGAACGCAGGAACGCATCAGCATCCCAAGCCTCCAGCCCTCTTCCATCATGCCCCGCAGCTCTCAATGAGTTAGCTGCTCGGACCACTCCGCCCATGGGATGAACGGGACTGGGAAATGAATCCACACGGCGTCCAAGGTGACACGATACGAGACCAAGGGAGACCAGCACGATTCGTCGCAGATCAAGGATCGCAGCAAAATTGAACGGGGAATGATGTGGAGAGCTGGCGCTCTAGGTTAGAATCCGCTGAATCGGCGGCCCTGTTTAAAACTCCACAAAAAAAACGATCCATGTCGCACCGATCGAAAGTTCTGTCAACCTAAAAAGATTCCTCGGAATCCGGAAAACACGAAATTCGTCAACTCCACAGAAAAAGCATCTCCAGATACCTTTCCTCGAATAAGATACATCTTATACATTCCTTGGACGGATCCGGAGAAAGTTATTATAAGATCTTTAAAGTAAGACACACATCGGAGGGCTCTAGTTGTCATACGACGCCAGAGAGCGTGTCTTGGCGGTGAAGATTGGTGGGGAAGGAGAGGAAAGACGGATTGAGAACGACATGATTTCCCAGCCCGGAGACGGATTAGAATCGAACATCGGATGAATGGATTCACGCGGTCATGAGCTCCTCCGAGGGTAGATGTCTCCATTCGCCTTGCTTAGCTCGCCGGAAGATTTCTTTGCGTAGCATGTCGAGTTCTTTAGAAACTTTCTTCAACAAGGAATTATTTTCGACTGCTCGCCGTGAGAGGTAAGGCATCACCTGTGCATGAGAAAATGAATTGTCTGATATTTTGAGGAATCTCTTCCCAGCACCATCGCAGAATCGAACTTACCTCGTCAACGGGGCCATAAGGTACATATTTATACACTGAGTATCCGGCCTGACCTGGAAATCAAATGTTGAGGTGAAATGTCGTCCCTCGATTAGGAGCAGAAACGAGAGATCATTTAAAGGTCTTCGCTGCATGAACATCAATATCTCGATTGCGTTCGCCGAAGGCTAAAGGCGGTGAGGGAGCGACTTACCGAGGGGAAAACTAACTTGGTCACACATTCCCAACAGCTGACCGAAACACACGAGTCTCTCGGACCTTCCAATGCCGAGTTCTTTCATCCGGCGCACAACGTATCGCACCGTGTTCTCGTTGTGGGTCGCGCACATGACCGAGACCCTTCCGGACTTCCCAGACTTCACGATCTCTTGCAGGAGGTAATCGAGCACCTGGGGGCATTCCGACCGAATGAGGAGGTGGGAAACGAGGATGAGACGGACAACGTGGACGAAAAGGAATCCGACGTTATGCTGCCCGAGTTACATACATATATCCATATATTCGAAGGACCGAAATAGAACCATCGACGTATTTTCAGCTCACTTTATGATACATCTCGTTCGTGGCTTCATACGAATCGTTGATAGGATCGGGGTATCCCACGGTTTTCGCTCGGAGTCGTTCCTGCTCCATGTAGGCTCCCCTGACCAGCTTCGCCGAAAAGTAGAAGTTTTGACGTTTCGATAATTCGACGTCGCGCTGCACACAATCGAAGGCGTCTTTCAAGTAGCACTGATACGTGTTGAATACGATCGGCTGTTTTGGGAGAAACCGAATGAATTATCAGAATCCCCGGTCCTCCGGTGGAATGAGATGAGAAAGTCGAAGAATCGTTCCAATATGCTCGAACGGACGCATCACCGATGCACTACCTTGGTCTTATTGTATTTCCTCATCAGCTCCGTTGTGAGACGACTTATCGCGGGCTGGAAGTATGTTTGCTCAGCGTCGACCATCACCCGCACACCGGTGGATTCGGCATGTCTCGCAATGGTATTGACGCGTCGCATCATGTTCCTTGAGAGAGGTAATCATTCGATTACAAATATTACACTTCGGAAGCGGGATCGAGCTCTTCAGCGTCTTCAATCGGATGCAGAGCTTGCAAACATAGTCTCGATATTCGTACCTGAACATTTCTTCTTCGTCCTCTGTGAGAGCGGAAATTATCGGTTCCATTTTCCCCGTTCTGAGGTTCGGAACTTTGAAAATATCCGAAATCATTCCTCGCGTGTCCACGAGTCCACTCCATGTGAACAAATTCATCAATCTGCAGGGGAGGGGAATCTGTGACACTGCGGGGATGACTGTGAACTGTGACCATGACCTTGAAAGAATCATGGGAACTACGAATATTCAATATTCCTCACCCTTTTTTGTCGTAATCCATACCCGACAAGAATTTCTGGTATTCTTCATGATCCTTGTCGATATGGAGACGTTCGTCGATTTGTTCTGGAGTCACTTGCTCGAGAGCCATGAGCTTCTCCTTGCCCGTCACGTCGCGAAAAAGTTTTCGTGTGTGTATGATGACTTCTGACAGTTGCATCTAGATGAGAGGAAGACGACTGAGCAGTCAGATTCGGAGCTCCGGGGAATCGAGCGCAAGATCCCACGAGGGACGTCTTCTGGTGTTCTACTCACCAAGAGTTGGGGTCTCCCGAGGGCGGTCATTTTTATGGCTGCCAGACCCGTCCCTTGCGTGGTACCAGCGACAGCGTCGATCGACTTGAGGAAAATTTCTACATTCTTCTCACATTGTGCTTCGCTCAGGTAAAAATAGGTTCTAGCAGTTGGTTGGAATCTCCGGGGATCAGCGAACTTTTTTTGTGGTTTGAATTGAGCCAGTTCACTCGCGACGTCTTCGTTCTCCGATGGTGTGTCTATATCAACAGAGTCTGAGGGAGCCGCCGAAATCGTTGATGCCATCTCGATTTCCCTGGCCCGTTCTTCGCTGGAAACGGAGGGAATCTTCAGACTTTCGAACAAACGCAATCGCTCGTCGCTGAGAGTGCCGAGCTCGATCGACCCGAGTCGTCAGACTTGCCTGAGATCCTCCTCAGCACTGTAGTCCAGGATGCTCTTGACACCGAAGCGGCGGAGACGTTCCAAGGTTGGTTTTATAGCATTTTCTGATTCACCTGGGGAAATGGGTTCGAATCAACGTGCGTCAAAATCTGTCCTGGGCAGCTTGCTGACAAGAGGCTCTTCTCGAGCGGGGCCGACTGGAAGAGAAGAAAAGTTCTCACCTCCCACGAAGTGTCCGTAAAAAGTCCTCTTCATCAACGCATGGAAGAGTTTCTTTCCCAAGAATTTCTGGCCCAAGGACATGAGCTGTAATCATTAATGTTCTTCTTAATGTGTTTGGTCATAAAGTATAAGCTTCGACCTCTCCACGATGATGGTTCCCGAAAGCCAGAAAGGTGGATCGGCATGAGGGGAGAAGAGCCAACAGAGAATATCACATCGAGATATCTCGGCTCTCCGCTGAAACAGGATTTCCCCGGCGCTCTAATTCCGTTCCACCCCGACTTCCTTTTTGATAGTTGCTAAGTTTAGGATACCCCGGCCCCTTCAGTGAACCCTTGAGGAAGGCTAGCGGGACTCGCCAAGCTGTGGTAGTCCCGACAAGGAAAGCGGATCAAGGCAGACAGGGAAATATTCCGCACATGGGGAGTCGTACTTCTGAGCCCCGATATCGGATAAGCGTCTCCCATGCCGGCGGAAGATGTTTGATTCATTGAAGAGGGCTGGACTGGATGTTTTCTGTTCACATTTGAGATCTCGGAGCCGCCGGCCATTCGGCATATTGTCATCCTGTGTTTTTCTCCCCCGCGTGGTGTTCCAGACGTCCGTTAGGATATGACTAAGTCGATGCAGCTCGATGGGAGTCCCCTTATTCAAGTTTCTGGGAAGGGCGCGTGATTCTTCGACGGAGCAAATTAGTTCTCGGCGACACTACTTTTTCAGACTCGGGAACTTCAACAAACCCAAGATGGCCGACAAACTCAGTTGGGAAGGAAAATGCGCGCCTTCGACCTCAGTCCGCTTCTTGAGCGAGGGTCATCAAGTTCTCCTGCTAGACCGAGTTTACTGAGAGCGGAACGCCACAAAATCGGCTGGGCTGCATGTAGGTGAGTCGCTAAGCTAAGTTTTCCTCTACTTTGCCTGCGTAGCCCGGTTTCTCAAGTGCTGCGTGTCGGATACCCCGGCCTTCTCTCGCAATATTCTACCCCAGGATGTTGGATCGTCCCGGTTGTCCGGTAGCGGATCCCGGCGGGCTCCGTCGGGGATCAGTTCAGCATGCCTACAGGTGTTATTTTCTCAGTCACCGCCTTTGGATTTATCAGGAGGATCGAACTGAAATGAGAGCCACCTCGTCCGGAATGTCGCGGGGCCCTGGCTGTAGATTGCTGCTACTGGCGTGTTGCAGTGTCTGGATGATCTACTTGACGACCCATTCTGCGAGATTCGGGATCGACTCCAGAGGGCATCTTCCGTCGAATACCGGTGAAATGTCGAGACCGAGGAGACAAGATTCACCATCTGCATGGATGGCTATGATATTCAGATAGGCGGACCAGGTCCACCGAGCATGAACGCGGTGGCTCAGGCGCAGATCGAGAGCTCCCAGTTTCACTCTGGAGCTCGCCGCTAGGAACTCGGAAAAGACAAGGAGTAACCCATGACCTCAATCTTCAGGGACTGCGAATGTACTTGATCGACAAAGGAGCCGTCAGATCCTGCTTCGGCGAGCATGCTCGAGAATCGAGGACAGGCATCGCGCATGGAACGGCGATCTGAGAACTCGGAACTTGATTGTCGATGATGATCTCCGGATAATTTATTGCTCCGTGCCAAAGGTAGGCGGCTAGGAGAAATAGTCATACTGACGGATGGCCGAATTTGAAGAGCAGATTGCTTGATTCGGCTACTTTCAGACAGACCACGCAATTCGAGTGGAATGCATCCTGCATCTGAAACTTCCGAATTCCAGGCTGCTTCTACGAACTGGAAACGAGTACTCTTATCTTTGCGAGATCCACAGACGAATCCACTCGCGTTCCCGCCAGACGCGGGTCATAAACAAGAATGGGCAGTCATCAACAACACTAGGGACGGAAGATTGCAAAGCTCTCAATATTTCAAATTCTTGATCGTCAGGTGCGCGAACAGGTTTCAGGGAAGCCTCACTTTGCACAGATACTTTGAGAATTATAATCGATCACGAGTAGGAATAGATCGAGAGAGCAGGAAGCTGCTGAACCCATAGGGCGTGCGCTTCCAGAAACCCATTGGAGCGTCTCCTGTCTACCTACCGGAACAAATTCGAGTTCGCATACAGTGACTACTTCCGACGGCGATATGGCGAGTTCATGAAGACTCCAAACGTCAATGGAACTCCAGAATCTCATGAGGCTCTGAGCGACGGTATTCCGAGTTTCCGAAACTTCCTGGAGTATGTTTCGTCAGAAAACGCAGAGAAAAACGAGCATTGGCAAGCGGTCCACGAGATCTGTCATCCTTGCGAGATCGCATTCGATTTCATCGGGTGAGACCTCTGAATCCTTTATTTGAGCCCGCCTCAGCTCGGGACAGTATCCGTTTCGAATATCCAACACTGAACCCGAGTCTCGATCGCAGAAAATACGAAACACTGCAGGAAGATTCTGAATACGTTCTGAGTTACATCACGACATCGAGGCGCATCCACACGGAGTGGAAGTTCCCGTCGCGGGAACAAACTTATACAAGAACTCAACCGTCCCACGCTGTCATGGAGGCGTGAGTATTTCCGGTGTCGAGGAGATTTTCGCATCTAGAGATCCAGATCTCGGTCTGATGGAATGGATGACCTCCCAAAGAGTTCCAGCTGGCTATATATGATGGAATAAACCCCGAGCTGACCAGAGTTGAGCACTATGATCCTTCTGGTCATCCTCTTTCCAGGTATTATGAAGACGTCCCCGAGGCCATCCGCAAGAGAGCTTCGACTTTTTTCCGAGATGACATCTCGCTCTTCGGCTACGCAGAACAGAGCAATGTCTCCTGAAGATACCAAACATCCGTCGCTCCCGTCGTTATCCATCGATCGATGGATAGAGGTCCGACTCCCTCGTGGAGCTCTACTGAGTCTCTCTCGAGACACCTCGGTATTCCGTTCCACAGAGGGGGCTTGTGATCCGAAACGATGGCTTCCGACGCGTACAGGGGCTCGACAAAGACTTTTACAGCGCGGATCGATGCATCGGAGTCAAGGTCTGGCTGGGATCGCTCATTTGACAGCCCCCTTTATTCAGGGGAGTCGGAAGCGACACGTTGTGATCGATCCAGGTCTACTTAGTCGGAAATCGATTCTCCCGTGACTAGGTCCGATTCGAAGTTTTCGGATCCTTCCCAATCAAGGGCTCCGTGAATCAAGGGCACACTCCAGGGACCGACGAATATTGAGCAGATTATTCAGTCAGGGGACCGCATATGTAAATACAGTTCGGAGTCGAGCTCCCGGAGGAGTAGCGTGAATTCAGTGTGGAATGTGTGTGTGAAATGTGGAATTAGGTATTAAAAATAGAAGACCGCATTGAAGCGATTTCTCGAGTCCAGATGGAGTTTTGCGGCTGACCGATTCCGGGGGGAATCGCATTCGTTCACAGTGTTTTCGTATATCGCGTCTGCATTTCGACCTCTCGGCATCTCGAATACTCTTACTTCTTCGACCAGGGCCAGTTCAACAACGAGACCATCACGTGGGGCACATTCACGAGATGATAAGAGAAAGTGTTCCAGGCGCCAGCGGAATGCGACCTTGACCGTCAGCTGGATAGCTGTCTTCCGGGTAGAGCCGGAGACTGCTTTCGGAAGTCCGCCGGTTGCGATGAGCGCACCCGAGGTTGGTGGTGAATGGATTTGCGTCTCTTCGAATACCGGAGAAGAGCTCATGAGAATACGATCAGGAGCGAGTGCGACGCGTAAGATCCGACAAAAACGCAGTAGCCGCTCACGCGGTCCAAGATGGGCAGGAAGCATGCAGCGCGAGACCATTCGGCCTTGAGGCTCGCCCTACTGGCACAGTGTATGGTTTCTTGACGTCAGCCTCATATGTGACTGTCAGATTCTGAATTTCCGAAGTTTCGCTCGCAGCATTCGATCACCTCGGTTTTTGCAATCCGAGGCAGCCACGGGGAGCAAAAGCGCTACTTCAGATCATCATCGCGGTCAGACACGGATCAAGTCTCGACAACCGACGTCAGCAATGCTTTTCCGCAACAATCACACTCTAGTGGATAGACTGACCTGCCGATTGTGATTGACAATGTAATCCACCGACGAAAGCTTCAAAACGAAGTACGCTCTTAGCAGCTCAGTTGTTGTCTTCGATTTGAAGGCTTCTTTGCCATCTTCGAACTTCAGATCGACTTCGAGCTTCTGGGCCGACGAACAACTTGATCTGATGTGTCTTCTGACCGGAAAGCCCACAGGTGGAAGTCCAGGATGAGCACGTAGGGCCACCGCGCTCCTCATCGAAACCCCCGCGCGCAACATCACTTCCACGGCAATTCTGTGGAGCTCTCCGATGACTAGATTGGAAGAAGTGTATCCCTAAACGGCGGACACTGGAAGCCGCGGAAACTTTGAGAGCTGTCGTAAAACCCGGATCGAGACCTTGTTCGAGCCGAACGTCGGTGCGTAATAGCCACGGACGACGCAATGTCACTGCGAGTACTCGAGGGAACTATCGTGGCCGATTTCCCGGTTCGAGGTCTTCGGACGGTCCTAGGAGACATTCCGACTTTTAAGTCGGATCAGCTGCTCGGGAAACCATGTGCTTGGCAGTCGCATCAGCTGCCGCGAGCGGGACGATAGATCCAGATCGAGTGCGGTTGATTAGTCACTTCCCAGACTAGAATGTCACTCTAAATGTGAGAGGTACCACGTCTGGAACCGGTTTGGCTCTGGAAAATTGTTGGAAATAGTCGCTCGGCCCCGGGAAGCGAGAGCTCGTTCGATGACGGGTGGCGAACTCGCGATTCCAGGAAAGCCCAGTCCCGAAGACGGTGCGACAAGACCCTCCGGACCGTGAGCCCTTCGCCCAACTCTAGTACGTTGGATGGTACCGAGAGCTCCTGATCATACTCGACAAGACAGGCTCATGGAGGACTTGGACGAGCTCCTCGCGGTTCCTGTTCATGGTCTCGGACCTCGAAGTCTCGGATTCCTCTCCGGATGTCTGGAAGTTGAGCAGATTATCCCAGGTGAGAGAGCTCTACCAACAGCGGGGATCATAAGTCGTATTGATTGCCTCCCATCCGGAGCATTATCGCGGGCGAGCTCTTCGGAACCATTGAAAGAATGAGCGAAACTATTTTGGAGCCGAATTCGTTGAGGAACTCTCAGTTTTCATCTGATCAGGGCGAGAGAACTTCTACCGTGACTGGCGGCTGCTCACGCAGCTGGTGTCTTTGCCTGAAGGCACGCTGGCGAGACTTCAACGATCGAACGATCCTGTCAGAGAAACTCTGCAATTATGGCCTGTGGAAGCTACCATAGGTGAGACGGTGTCCAGCATATCTAAACCATTTAATGATCGAGTAGTAGACCCGTGAATTAATTCGAGGACGCCAAATAATTCAAGGACAACTGGTCTCGGCAATGGAGGGTATCGAACGCTTTGACGTATTGGACGATTGTATGGAGTCGATCCTGGAAGACTGCAGAGATTTCATCCGGCGAAAAGAGTACTGGCAGAGAGAGCCATCGGTCGTCCAGCAGACAATTTTCCAAGCGTTTGTGATACACGTTCTTGACGACGTCGGTAAGTTGAAGCGCCCATGAATTACGGAAGGACTCGAGCCCCGGATCGAGCTCCTAAGCTTCTCGACCTCAGTAGGAACTCGTTCAGAGCACCCTGAGGTGAGGGGTAGCCTCGCTCATGTCGAAACTGAATACTCGAGCTCCGAGATCAGCTTATTCGGTATTGAGGGACGAAAAGTGGGATCTTCGCGGAACGATAAATTGGACCGGAGAAGTTTGTAGTCAGCAGCAGCATCCAAATGGAGTCTCGTTTTGCTTTTCAGTTTTCGTACGAGAAATGGTCACCCGAGTTGAAGATGAGGGGGTGAGACTCTTCGTGCCGGCGCGAGACTTTCCTGCCGCGGAACACAACTACATGTATTCTTTGATAGAGGTAATCATCTTGTTCCCTAGAGCTTCTACGAGAAGTGGCTGATCGTACATTAGTCATGTGGTCGGCTCTAACCTTTCCAAGATGATCCTGCTGAGCCCCTCCCTTGTTCTTTCTCCGTCCGGGACTTATTTTTCTTTCGATTGCAGATAATGCAGACACGCTGCTTGAATGTGATCGTGGTGGTTTCCCGAGCTTTGTCCGAGGACCAAGAAGCCACCAGGCTCCTGGAGAACGCTGAGAGAATCCACGCTCAAGACACATCACGGAAAATCGTACCGATAGTTCTGGAAGAAGCCCCCCATGTGGGCTTCATGATATCTAATCTTTGTAAAATCAATTTCAATTTTCCTGAAGCACACGCGTGGGCATGGCCACGACTTATGGACTCTTTAGGAGTGGGAAGGAATCAAGACAGAAGATTGCACTAAGGCTGTGATACTGTTCAAATCTCACTGGGAGATTTACTCGCGGCGTCTTTCCTGTTTTTCCGTCACAAAATATTTCGTACGTCGAACAGGATGCTACGACTTCTCACATTCATCTCTTCGCCCCCGGGGCGAATAAAGGCTGTGCGAGGAATCACCTTAGCTCGGGATGACGAGTCGAATCGACACTAAATTACATAATATCTCGATTCTACTCCTCGACGAGCACAGGTTTTCCCTTACAGCCCCACTCAATCGAATCCGGCTCTCCTGGCGAAAACAAAAAGAATAAAAATGTAGAGTTTGAGGAGAGTCGTACTTCGTCGTTTATTCTATGACAACAGTCATTTATATAGACACCTCATGCTACGTGTTGATGGGGATAGGCGAAGACCCTACAGATGCCTCCGTCAGATAAATGAGTTCCGGAAGCAGAACACTTAGATTCCGAAGTTGAAGAATGAACGATAACCAAGTCTTTTACACGCACGATCCGGTTGGACTCGTGTTGGTGCTGGGGCCGTTGACACAGGAGACACTTCACTGGTTCCCTGAGACGACGACTCGGGAGACTGCGAAACTTCACTAGTGTCCTGGGTGGACAACTCCGAAGGTTCCCGCTCCGAAGCGAGCGAACCATCATCCGGCGACGCGGTGTCGGAGACGGTGAGTTCACGATCACGGATCGCGAGTGGCGTTGATGAAACCGGACTCGAAGCTTGTGAGGGCGAAGAAGTAATTCCGGAAGAGACTTGATCATCGGACGGCGGAGAAGTGAAGTCAGCGAGGAGATCCTCGTCATCTTCTGAACCAACGCTCACGGTTGGTTGCCGGAACGCGACGACCGCTCGGAAGTTGTATCGTCACTTCCTCCCCCAGGAGGAAATCGCGATTGCGAACACCATGATGTCGATCGAACTGCTCCTTGAAAATTCCCTGAGAAGGCGTCCATTCATGAGAAACTCCGGCAGGCTTGAAAACATCGAATGGCGTCTTCAAAGATCGACTGAAGAAAACTTCATTTGGTGACTTTTCGCCTTCAAGAGCAGAATTCGGGGTATACTTGTAGGCATAGACGATGGACTCCAGGGAGTGCACAGAAGTATCGAGAGCGGACTTGATCGTTCTCACCATCCTCTCCGCCAACCCGTCATTTTGAGGCATATACGGCGCACAACGTAGATGAACGATGTTGAGATCTCCACAGAGCTTGGCAAATTCACTCGACGTGAACTGCCGACCATTGTCGGACACCAAGGTGTCGGGAGGCCCGAGAATTCGGAACAGACTGCGGAGATACGCAATCACGGATTGCGAAGTTATCGATGTTAGCCAATGGGCATCCATAAACTTCGAGAAACTGTCAACGATTACGATGAAATAATTTCCCTTGCGCGGTTCCCCAATATCGATGTGAACCCGCGACCATGCTTTGCCAGTGTTCGGCCACGGCACAAGAGGAGCCTTCACGGGCGTTGCTTCAGTTTGGACGCAATGATTGCACTGTCGCACCAAAGTCTCGACATCAGAATTCATCCCTGGCCAGAAGAAATGTAGACGCGCTAAACCTTTCATACGACGTATGCCAAGATGTCCACGATGCAGTTGCTCAAGAACCAGACTTTGAACTGTTTTCGGAATGACGGTGCGTTCATTCAAGAGAAGAATCCCACCGACTGAGCACAGTGAATCAGCGTTGAGAAAGAAAGGACGAAGAGATGAATCCTGCTTGTAACCGGGTATCCTGGAGGAGTCCTCTGTGAGTTGTTATCATTGTCATACCGTGACTACTCTCGTCCAATGGGAGCTGGAGATATGCATCAGCCAAATCCAATTGCGAGAACACCCTGTTGCCGGAAAACTTTGTCATGATTTCTTCCATGTTGGGCAAGGGATGATCGATGTCCACAAGCGCTTCATTAAGTCCAGTGGAGTGATCAGCACAAACCCTGATGGAGCCATTGGGCTTCTTCACGACAACAATGGGGGTTGCCCATTCTGGGAAATCGACCTTGGTGAGAGTACCATTCTTTAACAACCGATCCAACTCAGCATCGATTTGTTCCTGTGTTTTTTTTTCATAAATAAAAATTTTTATTATAAAAACCAGAACAAAAAGGATGTTTCTCTCTACTCTTCATATACAACCAGTCATAGCTTTTCAAGAGGAGTAAGCATCGTCTCCTCCTGCAGAATCGTCTTGACAGAGAGCTCCTTCGCGTACGGATCGATTTTATCCGCTCGCCGAGTTTCTTTCGTGCAGAAAGAGAAGACGAAGGCCGTGGTTCCCCCCTCAGCGGGAAGGGTTTAGATGCTCGGACCAGTAGGCCATCTCTTGAACTGGATACGATTCTGCGTATATCCAGTGCCGTCTTGTAGATTAAGAACGCAATACCGCTTGGGCTTGGTTCCAGTATTGCATCAGAATCTGCACTGCGTCGCAGACTGCTGAGTCTATTGCCCTGCCTCTCACCGACGACCTGCCAATTTTTCGCAATGAGCACGCGCTACCGATGTAAGTGAGGGCGTCTGTTCCGAGCTCAAACGGTAGCGTCTCACTGCGCAGCTCATCGGGTCATCATTGTCTGAGCTTGCCGGAGCGAGAATTGACGAAGTCTCGGAACCATAAGAGGAGCGTCAAGCCTCCGATAATTTCCTCCGAATGTCCTCGACAGAGTCCTTGCCGAGTCCTTGTGCCAGTCATGGGGGGGACCCCCCACGGCTGGTGGTTCGAACGGACGGACCCGCTTCGAAGATCCGCTTCAGGGGCTCGTCCTCAGTGTGTTCGCTTTTTGACGTGCGCCTGGATTCCAAACGGCGTATATGAGTTCTGTGATATACATATGTATCATCCTCGGTTCTACGAGAAGATACCATATCAGATACCTCTTCAATGGTCGACCAGAAGAAAGTAATCTTCCTTGGGCTTCTCTTACATTCCGAGTGCTTCTCTGCCCGGCTTTTACATCGCGGGTATATCGCGTCATTCCCCTCGAATCGAAAGGATTGAGCGAGTCCGGATCACTCGCACGCGCTATCATCGGCGATTTCACGATAATGGATCCGCTCGGACTTCCTCACGCGACTTCCGAATCAGGGAAGAAGCGACAATGCTCCCAGAAATATGTCGATGACGTGGTTCCCGAAACTCGCGAGAAAGGACTCTTCTTGAGTTTCTTCGCTCGTGGAACAAGCGCTCGCCACCCGTACCCCCTCGTATATATACGACTAACGCATCAGCGGAAGCAAATGGTCTGACCGAGTAACATTTTTCGTGCAGCCCATGGGACTGCGATAATCTGGAATCCGAGTAGGATCCGAATGAGCACCTCGGAATCTCGATCCGATTCATCTAGTGGTAAGACATGATAGAGCCCATTAGCAGTAAGATTCCGCGTTTATTATATACGCTCCTTCTTCAAGCTGACTTCGAATGAACACAGCTACGATAGTATGAACAGTCACCGGAATGATCTTATTTACACTGAGAGGGTTGATGAAGGTGGTGTGATGTACAGCACCGGCTCGCATTGAATATTACACTCCATGAGCCCTCACTGAGGAGCCGATATACAGTCCAAAGTCTCCGGTGCAGTTCGAATCTGACTTCTCGGATAGTTCGATTCGCATGGTCTGGGACGGGTCGTCGACAGGGTTCAATGAGGCCATCCGCTGTCGATTCTCCCGGAGAACGAATGTTCCCTGGTGTCCTGAGGCTAATGATCTCTTCGCATCGAGTTGCCATGTTATTTAATAAATAAGGCCGGATGATGTGATGCTCTAGGGTTTGAAGAATCTCAGAGCTTTAGCCATTTTCGGCACAGCCGATTGGGATAAACTCGTATTCGGCGTCGAGCTTTTGCTGAAGACCGAGTTGTTCGGATCAATCCCGTCGAAGTATCGATCAAGGCCCAGTGAGCCGATCTGGGCGGCTTGAGAACGTTTGACGACGTAGTGCTGCCGTGAGGCCTCGGTGGCGGGCGTTGGGTTTATCCACCTTCAAAGACAAGAGCAAATATTCAATACCAAACGAAGTTAGTGGATATATTTCAAGCACGGAAATAGGAGGGAGAATCTACCCCTTCGCTGGATCAAAGGCTCTGAAAAATCGGCAGAGATGTGCCCGCAACATGGTAGAGGAAGATTTTTCCGCTGGGTTCTCATAATTATCTAAGCGCGTTATCGGTGGATTTCCGACCGTAGAATTTTTGCGCGATAAGCATGAGCTCGTGAAGAGCGAAGGCTTCCAGACGCATGGGCCTTCCCAGGCCACGTCTCACTTCGAAACCTTGACTGTATCGAATCGGTATCCGTGAAATACGTCGGAACTTGTTCTTAACACTGAGAACACAAATAGAGTGCGGACGGAATCGGCGTCGGGAACTATTTCCGAAACAGAATTTTCGGATTGTTTCGGCTCTGACTCTTCGCAGTCGAGTTGAATCCGATCAATGCGATGTCCGCGAACAAAGTTCAATGACTCCTTCCTGGAGTTCCTCATCGGATTCACGAATCACAGTTTCTCTTCCTTCCGACTCCTGTCCTAGAGAGCACACTAGAGAAAAGAGAGCATTGATACTCAGGGAGAATTCACGTTCTCCTAACCAGTCTCTCGAGGGGCCGTACCTCGAAGCGGTGCTGTCCTTCTTCTCCGAAACATTGGTAACGAAAGTTGTGGATGACATTTCGAGACGGTTGTCACTTCTAGGGTATTTCACTTATGACACTTTCGAGTTACCGGCTTCGATTCTCTTATGAGTCCCCTCCGATGGAAAGGGCAGATCGCGCCACCGTGGTCCGACTGATCGCAACGCCACTGTCGTCAGAAACTCTCAACTGATGAGTGAGTAATCGGCTGAGCGAGCGACAATGCCCCAGCTGTGCGAACATCTGGCCTGAATCCTGCCCCGTTCCGAAATCGGATTGTCCGATTCTTCCTCTAGCAACGATTCGAAAAGGAGATCGAACGGCTCTCATTTGTTAAGTAAATAACATACCTGTCTTGCACGACGGTCTTGGAAGTTCGGGGTCTCACGGCGACACCAACAGCTCCGATGAAAGTCATTGTGGCTTTCGAGATTTTCGAGTTTGCTCCGACTAGGAAAATTCTACAAAAGCTCGCGAGTCGCGCGCCGATGCTGTAGTGGAGCTTCAGGCGATGCGGCGTCCCTTAAATATCGTCAAACCGCCTCTTAATGGAGAGAAGGCGATTTGCAATCGGCAACGTCGCCGCTAGAGGGACTGGTTCAATACCTTAAGGAGACTTTTTGTCCTGAGCAGGAAATGACTGGCGGCCGGGTCACGGTAGACGTAAACAGGTCTCACTGAAAACTGTAGAATGGGGGACAGCGCACGAGACGGAGAGATATTTGATACGATGCTCCGCGCCAAATCTCGAGTAACGACTCAAGATTCCAATCTGGAGGTACTTTATAGCAAAGGTTGAGATCATCTCAATCCGCGAGTGAACAAGGCAGAGTGATTGTCTCCCACAGGTTTCCACCGTTCCGAGGGGCAAAATGGGTACGTGACCGTCGGAATGTCCAGCCCAATCGGTCTGTGACTCCTAGGCCAGCTACGCGCTCCGAGCGTGACAAACTGTTCCACTGTCCTCATCCACCGAAGTATCTGAGGAGCCTCGAGCTAAGGGGGAGCAGAGAATCCAGAAGAGGATTCGTTCGAAGCAGATTTTTGAAGCATCCCAGGGACCCAGGCTCTCACCGCAAAGATATTGATAAAAAGACTCGTGGCGCTTCGCCAAATGGTCATTGCGATCTGCCTGAATAAAGAGAAAGAATAATGCGATGTGTGATTTTCCCAGAGAGAGTTCTTTTTCTCGTTTATGCTACATATCTCAGCCAGATGCCTGATTGGCGTCGGTTTGTCCTACAGCGCGCGGTCCACAACGGCGATGAAGATCTGGAAGTAGCAGAGGAGCCCGGACCAGCAGAGATCAGAGCGAATAGATATCGCCCGTCCGAGTATCCCTCGCAGAGTCAAATCGAGTCCAATGAAACTGTCCAGTGTTCCCGACCGTCGGTGTTGCATCAGGCGACAGGTTCGGCGCTCGTCCTGAACCGCTCATCGCGATGGTCACGGGATTATCATGATACCTCATTGGTTCCACCTTCCTTTCGAGAGCCAACGATCAGAGCATAATAGTGCGTCATCGGATCTCCGCTCGCGGGGCGCGTCATCTCAGCTCGAGGTGTTCGTTCTTGATCTGAACGATTCCAACCTCGGGTCGGAATTGATCGCCTTCCTCTAGAACTCGGCCGATTAGCCGTTTACAGGTGATGAGATCCCCTCATGAGGGAAACCCCATGAATGTAACAGCGATCGTCACCTCCACACAGCTTCAGTCTAGAACGGCAAGGAGACATCACCGGAAACAGTTTTCGGCAATTTGGAATGAGGTCTCGCCGCCGGACGTGAATTCGAATATTCCCGCCCCAGACAGGACCCTAATCGGCATGCTGTATCGAATGTTATGATCTGAGAGTTCCCTCAGCTTGGAGGACGTTTTGGACACCGTAACTTCGATCGAAAAGAAAATCGAAGATGCCGGTGAATCCCGAGTTCCCGCATTCCCACACGGGGGGCGTGAGGCCCATGAAAATTGAGGTGAGTGACAGGAAGAGTGAAGGCTCCGGAGACAGCTGCTCGCTTCCCCTGGGTTCTCCGCGAACGAAGACGACTCATTCCTATTCGGCTGGTATCACTCATGGTTTGGACCTTGGGAAACTCTTTGCAATGAGTTGAGTCGAACCTGCCGTGCCGCTGAGGGAGCCCAATATGCGAAGCGTCTCATTCAAAATACTCGCGAGTCAAAAACTCTCAGTCGTCTCAATGATCGATCTCATGCAGTGCTCTGGAGTAGAGGAGAGCAGGATGATGGTCGACAGGATAACTTCGACGGGGCATTGTATTCTCAGAGCCATCAATTTTCCAGGGTCGTTTCAGCAACCCCAGAGCTCGTATGTCGGCTGATTTCACTGATGCTGATCGTGCATGGCGAGCTCAGTTCCTCAAGGATCAGGTGAGTGTGAGAGAATCGTGGCGGGAATATCGGGGCGCTGCGATCCCCAAGTGATTCAGGAGACTCCGTAGGCAAAGCAGAGCAATCATATGCCATGACGATGATCTCTCTGCGTTGTCATAAGTCAGCGACCGACGTCCGATCTCAGGAAAGGCCATTCTAGTTCCGGAGGCATCTCGAAAGCCCAGGGTCTTATCGGGATTTTTCATTTTCTGCAGATTCTAGCCCACGACGAGCCAAGAAACGTTCCAGAGTTGTACTATGCCACCAAAAACGTTATCCGGAGATTCTATCGCGCACCCTTCGACATGTTCGAGAGGATGATCATCCCTAGAGTAGGAACCGAAAATGCTGCTCTTCTGCGCCGGATCATCCCGAAGACCCTCCTGGGCTATACGCTGCTCGTGTGGGGCACCTACTGGGTCAAATACAATGGGGTAAGTTGACGGGAATATCTATCAGCTAGAAAAACATAAAAATCCATAGGCGTTGTCGACTCGAAGCGGTAAGTTTGATGAATCCATCTTGACATCCGGCGATAGCGAGCGGAATGCGCCGATTTAGGGACCTTCATGTCCGCTTTATGACGACTTCTCCAGCCGCAAAACTCCCAGCGATCCTCAACTCGACGGGATGGATAGAGTCCGATACCCCGAATATTGCTCCGGGGAGCGAAATTATCTAATTTCGTCAGCTGACATATTCCCACCAATGCTGACCCTAAAGACCCCGCGCGACCTATCAAGCAGCAACGATATGGCTCTCCACTTATCTCTTGGCGATTGCGATCGAATCCATCGGAAAACGACGGGCTGACACGCTCGAGCGATGCGTAAATCATGCTATTTTTGGAATGCGCACCACGCTCGGAATGGATTCGCTTACGCTTCCCCTATCTCGGTCTTGATAACGTGGACTTGTCGGAGGACGGACACGACAGTCACATTCCAGTCCCAGAGAACTTGAGCGGAGACCAGTCTTCGAACGCTGGATTTGTATACGGGGTCTTGGGGTCCCCGTCCGGGCTCCTCGAAATCATTACGGAAATGAAAATACTCTGTGGGAATTCCCGGGGTCCTTCACAAGGTCCGATCGGATCTTGCCCTCTGAGCGCGATACGGTGTCTGGGACCCTCTCTGTTGATCGGAATATTTCGTATCATGTCTCATCATCGCCAGAGTGAATGGAATCCGAATTTCGCCATCGTAGTCCCATTCCTGCGTCAATGTCTTGACGCTCCATACGAAGTCGGAAGTTGATGGAGGACAATGATCTCTAAGGGCGGGTAGAGATGGCTCGGAAAGCCTTAACCCTCTCGCGTATCAGGCGCATCTGCGTTCCGGGGACTCCAGGACCCCTGGTGACCTGGAGGTATTCCACTTGCCGCCCTCTTCGGTGCCCGTGTCTATCGACGTTCTGTCTCGAGGATCTGCGATGTCCAGATTCGGCCGACGAAAAATGATCCTCGTAAGCCCACATTGCGATTGATCGGCTCTCCTGAGATTCTCGCGGGAACTGGGCAAAGTCAGGAGTATGGACGGGAAGTCTCGGATTCCAATCACGATTTTATTCATCATCGTGGCCTTGACCATGATTTTTCTCACCTTGCTTCACGCAAGATGACTACATATGAGCGATTCATTTTCGAGAGTCTCCAGAGGGGGGCATTACAGAGCTTCCTCGGTTCAACGTCTAGTTATGCGATCCACAATCGATGCGCCGACGTGCAAATATTTGCGTCAGGGAGCCATGGTGTAAGAAATTCGTATTCTCACCATTCGTCATGCCTCACCAGTCTCCGACGACCCATGGTTTCGAGAGCATTCTAGTCTTCCGTGTTCGTTGTCGGAAAAGCGGAATCTCCCCGATTCCGTGACTCGGGTGCAGTTAGTGCTATATTTAGCAAGGTTACGGCGTGATAAGGCTCTGTGGGACCAAGGAATCGTCACGTTGCTCGGCGCGGAAACGAACCAGTGAGCCGGCAACCGGTTATCGGTATTCGCCAATCCTCGACTGATACCGGCGTTCTCAACGGAGCGTGGTGGCGTGATTTCGCCCTTTCCTCGGAGGATTCCGTGCCTGAGCGATAATTCTCGATTTGGCCAGTCTCCCACGCTCGAATTCTTCTGCCGCTATAATTTCGTTGATCGCTCCTCTGATAGTCCCACGTGCTCCATCAAATTCGTCGGATGTACCCCGAAGTATAAGGACGCATATGAGGGACTTCCCAGCCCCGAAGGCCCCATGATAGAAGGGAACTTCTTCCTCATTTGCACCGACCGACGTAAGAATACCTCATCTGATGAGCCCCTCACGTGCGGTAATTCTAGTTCTCATCTGACTTGTTGTAAAAGAACGACGGGGTCGGACGCCACTCCTTCCACCAGAAACATGAATATAGCTCCGGTAGCGCAACACACGAGGCATATCCGCTCCACTGAACGGAGATCTCCGGAAGCCCGTCCGATTCTCGGCTGTTTCAGAGCCTTGTTCAGCCCCGATGGGTATCGTCAATGGGTCGATAGCGTATGTTGCCTCAGTGATTCGCACGTCAAGCCGAATTGATTTCCTCTGAAGGGAGGCGGGGGGCGTCTTCATTTTTTCTGTCTCTGTAAGGGCACATCATCCCTCCATTGGTCGTTGTAGAACATTTCATTCGTCGCAAACTTCGGCAACATTCTTTTCTCAGCGAGCGTTCGTATCAAGGCAGCTTCCGAGTCGTATCGACTGATTGTCATCCTCGCTGAGCTCCGTCCGCCACCTCGATGTTTGTATCTCATCTCATAACTCATAGGCCGAGAGAATTGGTGCAATCAACTCGTCCTCCGGATTCGGGAATCCGACTTATTTGTGCTCAAGATGATTTGGAAGACATCTTGAGGTAGTCTGCCGATGCTCAGACGTGGAAAGAAATCCCCAAGTAAAGAGGAAAGACCCCTGGTCTCCGCGAGGGGAATGCACATATTCGGAGAGAGATAGATCTCATCGACGACACACATGGAATATCAAGACTCGAACTTCCAATGTATCCTGGGCCGCAGGTTTTCATCGAAAGATTTGCGCGGCTACGATGGGCTGGCTTTGCTAGATAGATCCCTGAAATTCTTCATCAATACAACTTGGTGGATCCTTGTAGGTAGAGGATGTTCGTCGTTGCTGGCAACCGTCTGCTTCGGGGCTTCAGGATCCGCCGGTCCGTGTAGATTATCATGGTTTCCCCGGCGGGAATTTCTAGGGAAATCTGTTTACGGTCGCCGAGTTTCGCGCTGTTTTCATTTTGAGGTCATCTCTGCCAGTCGAGGGTTATCAACTTGCATCAGTCTGCAGTCGATTGTCGATAGCTTATCTCCCTCTTCCAAAGCCAGCCTTCCGGAGCATTTGGGAAGGCTGGTCGAGGCCGGGAAGCAGAGGGAACCAACTATACTGATCTAATCGTTTTGACTTCTAACCAGACGATCACCTCCCTTTACTCGCTAAGAGCCATTCGTGAGACGCGGTCGATTCTGTACGACGACATTGGATTACAGTGATTGGATTCATCAACTAAAACGGAATTTTCTTCGACAGAACGACTGGACGAGGAGAGGATCATGGACATTCAAAACAGGAGACGGAGTGTGTCTCCCTTGTCACGAGGGTTACCCGAGAAAGAGACCTGAGATGAAGCCCTCTGATTACGATTCCTTATACTTCAAAGATAGGAAGGTTCTTCTCGACCTTTAGTTTTTTTCGAAGTTGTTTTCGTTGAGAGGTTCGGCCTTCGCTGACAACGAAGGACGAGCAGGAGGATTGGAGGCGAAATAAACCTAATGTAGTACCCACGGGAATTCGTTAGGAAGAGTCTTTTATAACGACGGAATGAGCGAAACAGCTCCCCTCTATTCGTAGTTTCGGACGTCGTCTGGAGCGGTTACCGGTGGGGGGAGTCCTATTATTCGAGCAGCACTCTCTCCATCGTGCAGAATTTCAGCTAGCTATTTTGAAGAAAAGGATCAGCGAGTTGGAGGATATATTGCGGCTGGATATCTGATCTTCGGTTTGAGCAGCGGATTACGATCTATACGAATTGTTGAGACTGTATTTTTAGCGATGTCGCGTGGCTCGAGACTCCGACGTAGATCGATCGTGTCCGTTCGATACCGTCGGTATCTATAGCTTTAGTCAGGAATGATTATTCGAAACCGCTTCCATCTCTGATCTCATCATGATGAAATCATCATTCGATCCACGAAAGCAGTTAGATCCCTCCGCGGAATTCTTGGAAACACGAGCAGGCCGTATTCCGGTCATGACAGAATGCCATGAAATGCAGTGCTGTGACAGTTCATGCTCGACTACTTACATCCGAGAGAGGCAAGACTGAAAGCATCCCTTCAGCCAATTCAGGAAACGAGGCGACATAGAAGGAGAAACGAATGAAAGTGTTCTTTATTGCCCCTGGAACATTCCTAGTCTATTTTGGGCGGAGCGCAATGTTCCGAGTGGAGAGCGGGAGAGTGTAGCGTGATTCTTTCGTCGTAAACCTGGTCGGGCTCCAAGCGCCAAGCGATAAGATTCCAAGAGCTTTCTCGAACTTAATCCCGCGAGATAGTGTCCGACTCCAATTCGACAAGAATTCATGATTGAAACCATCCGGGAGTCTATGATCATCCTACGTATAGGTCAGGAGCATCGTGGGGATGGGAGGAGGAGTAAATCCCGGTCGGACAGTACATCTGGCTTTGCGTTTCATACTAGCGTCACCGCGACACGTCGATTCTCTCGATCTCTGAAGAATAGAATGCGGTAGAGCTCATCACCCAACAGCGAGCTTGTTAAATGTGTCTGAGATGTTGCCTTTCCTTCCCTCTCCAATCAGAGCACGGATACGTACATGTGAGATAGCAGCATCTTAGGATTGTTCACATACATAGTATCGACTCCCTTGTTTTAGTTGACCTTGCCTCCGGGAGACGATGGGTTCTCTGTAGCCTCGGACTCCGAATATTGTCAAAGTCAGCTTAGGGTTCAGAAATGATGCTGTGCCTCGTCTCCTCAGACAATCGAGCAACTCGGTACGGGAATGACCTGGTCATTCCTACCTAGATAGTAGGAAGCAGATGAGACCCCGAATCCTCGAGCTTTCTCGAGCAATATTTCGGAAGAAGCCGGCACCACCTGAGACAGGCTGCCGGCCTCACAGAAACTTCCAGAGCTTCTCGAGTGCGGAACGCCTGTCGTGAACGAGTCTCGCGTCTTTCGGAGCTTCCCCCCGCTCAGCTCCGTCTCTGATCGAGGCCCCGCGGACACGGACTAGGAAGACCGTGCGCGGATAACCTTCCTGGGAAGGATTTCCCCCTCCGAAGCAGCTTGATTTTTGCCAAGCTCCCCACTGAATTTCCGAGCCGGCAGCATCAGAATGAAAAGCAAAGACGTGCTATGTGAAATGAAACTCCTGGTGTTGTGAACGCATTATTCAGCCCATGCTTAGCCCCTCTTCCCGTGACTCCCGACAAGACCCATTCCGACTTCTGTGGACACCTGGAGTTTTTTCTTCCAGACTATCCATGGAAGCTGCAAAAATGAGCTAAAATCTATCTTGAGCTCGACGTTGGGGGGAATGCCTGATATGATATACATTTTTTGTCCGCCTCACATGGGACGCTTCTTCTTTTTTCAATGCGGTTCCCCCATATAAGGCGCTATCCCATATTGGGGAACTCTCCCCGAGCTTGTATGAGGGACCTATCGCTCCCCGTCCGCAGAGTCAAATTCATCGTGGGGAACTTCGAAGAGAGACAGCCCAGCGACCGACACGTCTTCCGGGCCCGAGACTCCAACGGTCTTCCGTATCTGTCGACAGACCTGATCGGGAGCCTATTGGAATGCATCCCGAATGCGGACTCGGAACTTGCTGAAGCTTTTCCGGTGCGGTTGCTTCATGCTTAGGAAGCAGAGAGTGGATACAAATTGTAGTCTGGACTATCCAGACAGGACCCAGGGAAAGGAAAAACTTTTCCGAAGCAAGTGGCGACCTCTATCAGCTCTCCGCACCAAGAACTGCCAGAACTCGTTACTTCTTTGAACGACGCCACCGAAGCCCGTAGGGCCTGGAGGACCCGTTCAAGACTGCCCCGCTGTTGTTTCTAAAATGTACCTTGTCAATGCTTTCCCTATCGCAGCGTGCTCCGATGCATCCGCAGCAGAAGAGGAGATAGCGGTCACCGTGTATCGGTCGTCGATCTAGGCTCTGAAGGATTTGAGAGCACCGAAAATGTGAAAACTGGGAGCTCATGGATACCATGCTTCATGGCCACACGCTTGAGAGCAACTGGGCGTGCGACAATGATTCACGTCCGTACGAGCGCGACAATCATCGAGCGACTATTGTCAGGTCCTAAAGAGGAGCAAATCTGCGCTAGGCATCGCTGCGATGAGCTCGACTAATGAGCTCGTTTGTGGCTGAAGTCTTTCGGGGCAGACGAGAGGTTGAGAAGAATTACGGATAAGGACAGCGTGTACGCAAACTTCCCGATCAAAAACGTCAGTTATATAATGGCATCACTTCTGATAATAAAGTATGGATAACTTGAGCGCACCACCGCCCGTGCTCCTCACTGAACGATGGGTGTCATCAAAATGTGGTTTTTGATTCCACTCACCTCGACGGTGGGCTCGTTTGATGCCACACTCGGATCGTGACCTTTCTGCGCCGGCAACTCCGCTCTCTGTCGATTGTTTTGAGTTGACATTCAGTAACTCCGCATCCAAGCTAACTTCTCGCGTTGAGCCATTGTAATTGATGCCGCGCCTGAGTGACAAAGACTCCCACACTCAGCCTGCACGAAGTCGACGCTTTCCTGAGGCCTGAGGCACATGTCGATGTCGTGTTCTCTTTCCAGCTTCAGCTGAAGTCATCAGAGGCTCCCGAGTTTCGAGTTGGGGAGGCCGGGCGACTCGATCGGTCGGGACCTTCATTTGCGGAACTTCTGGATAATATCAGTCTATAATCTCCACTTCTGACAAGTTATCTGAGCTGGAAGTCTAGAATCTGTGTCGGGGAACTCCGGGGTCGGAGTCAGTGCGAGGACTGTTCCCAGGAACGGAATACTGTATGGGTAATCAGAGCGGTACCTCAAAAAGACAAAGTTGGTGAACGTGCCACACGTGCTTACGTGTGAAGGATTAATGAGCCGAACGTTGATAAGAGCCGAGCTGTCGCAGCAGTACATATTTCCACTCGCGTAACTTCCCCAGCACCCTACATCTCAGTAGCTAATCTCTAGGACTGGGGTTGATTCCTTACAGCTTATTAGTGGTATGAGTATTATAAGGGCAGTACTTTAGGTCTGATTGACTCGATCCAGTTTCTAAGGTCTCGAAGCAGTGCTGATATTGGGAATGCTCGCCCACTCCTATCCATCTGACCATGTTCGGCGCGGTCGGCTTCATCCGGAATCTCGGCCAATTTTCCCATTGAGCGATACGCTTGAGTCCTCCTCGAAGGGGTATGGTATCTGTATATGTGCGTATTCCTCTTCTACACCAAAGGGTTCCGTATATCGCTATCGAGTTGAGATCACGAGATTAGCAGAGGCAACTTCCTGACCTCGAAAAGAACGAACAGTATGCCTGGGAGCCACATTCGCATGAGATCCTGACGTATTCCTCTCCGTGTCTCAGCTTCGCAGACACGCACTCACAGTCCTGCCTCAACGACCATTCCCTGAGAACCAGCCCCGTTCATGAAAGCACCCCTAAACTCAGCCGATGGCCGCGCGAGATACCGTGCTATTGATTCTCTACTCCGTTCATTGACTAGGACAGTATAGGTACATCGGCTCGCCCTCCGTCGGACAAATTTTCATATTGTTGTTCCGGAATCAGAGATCGAAATTTCAATTGGGTGGGAATTCGAGCTCTCTGGCGTTCTAGTCACCTGATCGACCTCTCGAGCTGGGGCATTTCTCGCTCGAGGCTCTGGAGTTTCTATGGAGAGCACAGCAGAAGCGACGGGGATCTATGTCCCGGATAAAGAGACAGATGAGTTGCTGCAACGCAAAACAGGAATCCAGGACCGTGGGTGACATACGAGTTGTCAACGATCCGAACGCAGAGAACCGCTTCCATTGTAGTTTGACCTGGGACGAGTTTCGTTGTCGGCGTTCTTGTCGATGCTTCTGTTGTTGTCGTTGTTGTGTTTATCGGTGGGGCATCGACCCCTTTGAGAGTGATCACTTTTGTCGAGCGCGCCTCCGCACCCACCGTGCTGCTGAGCGCGATCGGCAGAAGCATTGGCGATGGCAACATGTATCTTTTGAGCATACACGAACCGAATCAACTCGAAGCCCGAATGACTCGAGCAGCGCTACCCGTTTAGTCTTACCAGTGGCTTGCTGGAGGACATTGTTCCACCTGCCTTGGGGACTTGAGGAGGATATAAAATTCCTATCGAGAATAACCTTGTCGTTCAGACATCGGTTGGGACGTATAGCTTTTCTATCTAGAATTTTTCTCTCACTCGTTGTCAGAGACGCGTCGATGGGGGACGTTGGAATCGTCGTGCGAGAAAAATCGTGCTTTACCGATTCTGATCGGGCATGTTTTGTGGAGGACCGATTCCGTTCATCATGAGAGGTGAGAGGATTGTTTGCCCTGGGAAGAGCTGACGAACGCACTTTTTCTCGCTGTGATTTTCCAGATCGAATCACAAGGACGGTCTTCAATTTGACGAAGCGGTGACGCCCTCTTTCGTGGAACTCCCTCGGTCTCAATTTTAAGTCATATATATTTTCCGAAACTCGCCTCCTGTCTCCGCCACAGCGGCGTACATCCTAAGAGCCGAGTC